GCGAGCTAGTAAAGGGGGAGCTAATTAAGATTGAACGCAGTTTAAAAGACAGAGTTTTTATGAGTGATGGAAAAGATTGCAGTTTGGCCATTAGAAAGTACGAATGTGTTGCCCTGTACAAGCACTACTTCCGTTTGAAGCTTTTCAGCGCTGTGACTTTTGATTTTAGCTTTCTTCTAAACTGTTTTACTTTTATTTGCTCGTACATTGTCCTATTGACGCAAACAAATGCCTAACAATTTTTTGTTAGAAAACACCACAAAAAAACATTTGAATGAATAAAAACAACTACTATTTTACATTTAATTATGCAACATCAAAATATCAAAACAATCAGCAAAATAATTATCAAAAGTGTGTAGATTAAAAACAGATAAATATCAAACAACAAAAAGTTGAAACAGTGTTAAAAAATTGAAAAAAAATTGAAAAAGTTAACTAACTAACTAATCTTCTAGTACATTCCACTTGCAATCATATACAAGTATTGACCCTGATTCAACCTCCTTGAACTCCTAACTACTTGATCTCCAGCCTTGATCAGATCGGCCGCCTTCTCCGCGATCATATTCACCGGGGCATTAGTGTTCCCACTAGTGATGGCCGGCATGATCGACCCATCGACCACCCGCAACTTCCTCACGCCTTTCACCCTCAGCTGCGGGTCGACCACGGTTCTATGATCATCCACGGGGCCCATCTTGCAGGTGCCCGCCGAGTGGTTCAACGAGGCGGTCAGCACCTGCGCCAGACACCTCATGTACGGGCGGCTGTACAGCGGAAGGTAGTGCTCGCAGCCGGGGATGACGATGTCGCTGGGGACTACACCGAACCTTCTGAAAGCCGGCGAATGGGCTATCATTTTGTAGGTCATCTCCAGGGCCTCTGCCGTCGCCTCGAGGTCCTCCTCTACGGCGTAGTAATTTGGCTCGATGAGTGGGTGATCGTAGGGATCGGTGCTGGCGAGGCCAATGTAGCCCACACTTCGAGGCTGCAGAATGACCGGGAAGGCGGTGAAGCACTCTCGCTGGACAAAGGGCGCGAAAACGGTGGTCCACATTTGGTCAGTGAGGCCGACGACTTTGCGGAATTTGTGGCCGTCGTCTAGAAAAAAAGAATTAAAAATTAGTTCAAAAATTCCATAGTTTTAGTCTGTTTTACCTGAACTCAAACAACCCGAGAGAAAGAAGATCTGAAAGTCGGGCAGCCCCGGAACTGACTGATTTGCATAACTGGTCCGTATAAAACCCGTAGCATCCAGACCTCCATTACTGGAGATGGGCCCCCGTCCTAGAAGGCCATTCAGCAGCAGATTAGGCCCGGTGTGAACGCGGGACTGAATGTGCGTCCAAAACTCGCCTTTCGGTTTGGTCGCCTCAGCGACAAAGTTCAGCCCAAACATCATCTGATGGTCCTGAAGGTTCCGGCCCACCGGAAGGTCCGCCAGGACGGGAATTCCAAAGCGTTCCAGCTCCCGTCTTGGACCTATTCCGGAAAGCATCAGCAGATGGGGCGATTTGATGGCGCCCGCTGAGATGATCACCTCCTTTCGGGCGTGGACGCTGTGCCGTTCTCCAAAGCGGTCAAAGGTGACGCCGGTGGCTTCGGGAATGCCCGCGTTCCCATAATTATTCTTAAAAAGAATCCTCGTCACAAAGGCGTAGGTCAGCACGTGAAGATTATCTCGTCCTCGAATACTGTTTAGGTAGGCCTTGGCCGCCGAACAACGCCCACCTCGCCGCATCGTAGACTGCGGAATGGCAAAGCCGAGCTGCGAGGCGCCGTTAAAGTCCAGCACGCGGTGACCCAGCTGTTGAACTGACAGGAGGAAGGCCTTGGCCAGCTGGCCGATCCAGGTCGATCGCTGGACCGTCAGAGGACCTCCTCGCCCGTGAAAGCCGTTAAAGGCAATGTCCGGGTCCCGGTTATCTTCCGCCTTCATAAAGTACGGCAGGACCT